CTTTCAAACTGTTGTTGCTGTTTTCTTGTCTCTCATTTTCTTTGTCCTAATGGGTTAATGCCATTTTGAGGGTAATTATCTGTATTTAATCTCCTAGTTTTAAACAGAATACTATTCCATTTGTTTAAAGTTACATCAGTATTATTATTGAAAAAGAATTCTGGGGCCCACCCACGCTTTGTTTATGTACTCATTAAACACATTTACAGTAATGGATGTTCTTGATAATAATTTCCATTAAGATACAAAATTAATACCCAAAGCCCATTTTTAGTACAGATTTATTATAAGTCAGATATGTTGTTTGGCATCTTGAAAGAATAATTTTATCTGCCCTTTTTTTTTCAAGTGGGGAAAGCACGGATGAACAATTTCCAGCTGCCACAACGTGACACCTTTAATGATGAAGGTATTTCAATAGTTAAATAGCACAAGATAAAAGCCTGTTGTGTGGTAATACTCTGGCTTCATATTTGGTTAGCACGTTTATAGTTTACAAGTACTTCCACAGATGTTTTTCATTAGATTCTTGTGAGGCTGAGGTAACTGGGGCTGGGGGGAGGGAGATGGATTTTGAAATGAGCTACATCTACAAAAGGAAAAGCAGAGCTCACTTTGTTCAGAACATTTTCTAGATCAACTAGATAGTAACCCACTGTGCCCAGCATCGCGTCTGAGCTCAGTGGTTTTTCAGTTTTTTTCACCTTTCCTTGCGTGGGGCTCAGGCATTCGGCCCCAAACCTCAAAATGCACCGCCCCCACCCCACCCCCACCTGCCCAATAGCTGTACATGGGTATCGTCTCCCTGCAAAAACGTAAATATTGTTATCAATATTAAGGTCTCCAAAAAGGTATGATTAGGGAAAATGTGTAGTTTTTATTTCAACATAGTCATATGTTTCTAATAGCAGCAAGAAATTTGAATTTTCATTATGAAAAATTGAAATTAACTTTTAATTTGCACAAAGAAGTATGAAATTATTTAACTTATACATCTTGAATTTTAATGTAAATTTGAATGAGCATTTTCTGTATTAGAAGTTCATACATGTTAAATTTTCTATTCCGTG